TTGGTTTCTAATAAACACCCAGCACCCCTGTCTCTGACTCTCGCGACGCGACACGACGAACACTACTTCTGTTTGGGTGGGAGGAAGGAATAAGTTTTTTGTGGGGGGGGGGGGGGGGGGGGGGTTGGTGCCAGCTTGTGTCTGTTGGACGATTTTCATTGTCTATACGCATTAGCTACTAATGGCACTATGAAAAAAGTTCACGTTGATTACATGACAAAACTCCGTTTTCAAACAAAATGTCAAAAAAGTTTACCAGTTCCCGACAAAGACTGAAAAAGTAATAGACACAGTTTTTTTTATGTAATATTACCGAACGCAAGTAGGTGTTTACATGTTCAGTATGATTAGTTCACCAAGACATATGTACACACACGTTTTGAGACTCCGAATTTAACTAGTGAGTATTTTTAAACAGTAATCCATGGCCAGTGACAGTTTGCAATGATGTGGAACTAGTCGATATAACAAGCTGGACTTATTACACCCGAGCTTTATCCTCTCTTGACCCGAATTAGCAAAACGGCCCTATCCGAGACTCTCCTGTGTCAGTGTACCATACTCAGTTGTATAAGAGGGAGTGCCGGGATACTCCTGAATTTCACAATTAATGCCGTGTTTACACGGTGGATTCGTCAGTTTTAATGTCATCCTTTTCTTCCACATAGCAGTGATACATTCTGTACTTTTCATTTTCTGCTAGAAGCTCAGCTGTAAGGCGAGCAGCCAGATCTCTTGCTTCTGTTTTCCCCGCCACGTTAATATCAATTACTCTTCTAGTTTTCCGCCACTTAAGAGTACTGTTAAACTCACGTCTGAAGTCCACATCCATGAATGCCACAATCAGAGCTTTGACACTGCAGGATGCATTAACGAAAAGCGTGCTGAGTAAGTAGATTGAGCGGGGAAGACAATATTTGTGAGTGTACGTATCAACAATGTCGCATACATAAGTTGGAACCCAGAAAATAACTGTTCCCAGAATAAGTGCTGCAAGGAATCTTGTAGTATCTTCTTCTCCTCTCCAGGCCATTATATTCAGTATGTGTTCTTCCTGACCACGGCGAAGCTTGGCCATCTTATAAGTTTTTTGCATATTCACAACCACTCTACAGTAGCATGCTGAGATGACAATAAAAGGAAAGACAACGAATACCATTTTTAGAATCGACGATCGGAGATAGTTTTTGTTCCCAGTTACTTCTTCTCTACAGATGCCGTAACCAGGGTGAAAAACAAAGTCGTCACCAGAGATTGTTAGCGCCAGTGGCGCAGCAAAGGACACTAACCATGAAACGGCAAGTGCGCCACAAACGTACTTTCTTCTATGAAATGTCAAATAGTGCGCTAGGTGGATGTTCGCCACGTATCTGTCGATAGCCGTGATGGTCATGGTTACAATTGTTGCGTTATCTAGAGCCGAAGTAACATAACCTTGGAACTGACACACGGAGGTTGTAGCAAACCATTCGCCTTTCACGAGGGCACCAAAAGTGAATGGCATTACCAATACTAACTTGATCAAATCAATGATCACATACGAGAAAATGTACATATGAATCGTGTTACGAAGTCTAACGTTCCTATAGATAGCAGTGCATATCAATAAATTTGAAACAATTCCTGTTATAATAAAAAAACCGCTTACAAAGCTCTCGGCGACAATAGTTTCTATGCATCTGTTTCGTAGCGCTGAATGTAAATCGTTTCTTCCATCTGCACGAACGCACATCTTCGCGAACCTGAAGAAAGATTACTTTTCTGAACTGTTAACGAGGTAGACTTGTTTTTTCTTTTCTAGTACTTCTTTTTCCTACTTTTGAACGGCGTTAAGTTCAATAAACTGACAAAAGTTTTCTTTTAGTTTTGTTAAGTCTCGAATATGACGCAGTTTGGATAGGCGCACCTCAGAAAAAGTTGAATTTAAAATTTCTTACAGTGTTAAAATATCCTTTTGAGGTAGTTTTCGCCACAAGCCCGCTAACTCGGGTTATTTCGCAATTATTACTTCGACGCTACATGCGAAGTTAGATCTGGCGTTTTAAATGTAGAATGCCGTGAAAGTACTCGTTAATGTTAATATGTATGAGCGTTGCCTATGAACAGATGAACAAAGCTTCCACCTGCGCAAGGATTGACTTGTTTATGAAAGATGGCCTGTAAAAAATGCGCACATTCAAATATGTTTGTATTAGCTATGTCCGTCATAGTGTGGGATTGTCTGAAACTATTTCTGATCGAAGATGATCTTATGGCGATCTTTGTCATTGAAATAATAAGAATACTAATAGCGAGTCTACTTAAGGACTGACTCTATTAAAGTAAATTCAGTACTGTTAGGTACAGCCACGAATACCTTTCCATAGAAAGTAAAAAAATTAATAAATAAATAAAAGAAGAAGAAAACGATTTAAACAGTACCCCATTCACAGGACTTTTATGTTAAATATTAGAAACAGTTTTGAAAAGCTAGGACCAATTTGTACATCAGGGACCGTGAACTATATGTTTTACCGATTCTCAGCTTTTATACTTAAATTGTGTTCCTGTTATATTTATCTAACATCTATTCACAGGGGTTACTTTGTGTACGATGACGCACCACCGAGAAAGTATAGAAGTCGTAAATAATTCATAATGAAATATCAGTAGAACTGTTAAATGTTGTATATATAAAATATATAGAGAATAATACATGGTCGCGCGGAGATATGGAATTTATCTTCGAGTGTTCACATCGATATCTCACTCGTTCGCTGCGCTCACTCGTTCGATATCGAATGTGAACACGAGAAGATAAATTCCATATCTCCAAGCGTCCATGTATTATTCTGTTTATTATATAAACAAGAATCAGCCATTCCATAAACCAAAACCATGCCATATAGTCGAGAACCCGATAAATGTAATTCATTGTTTAAAATACTCCAGTGTAAACTCGGAGCTTTACAAAGTACAGTAAAAAGTAAATACAAATATTAAAAATGTCCGGTATCTTGTTCAAAATATAAAAGACAAGCTCAAACTATCAAATATCAATAATTTCACATGTAAAAATATCGTATTTTTACGTGTGTTCAGATACCACATTTCTCGGTGGTAGAAATCCTTGTAAAACACTGCAGTTTATGTAATAATACGATATATTAAGTAAACTTACACCAAAGTCATCAGTGAGAGGATTTTCTTTCATGTTCGAAATCTAAGACTGTGCCATTTTCGAGGGTCTCAGTGGGGTGGTAGCCGGCTTTAACGGTTGACAGTTAATTTTTTTCTAATTTTGACGGTTGACGGTCGAATATTAGAGCTTTTAATTTGACGGTTGACGGTTATTAAGTGGAAATTTAGTCCAAGAGTTTCAGAAAATGATAACTTCTAAACGCTGTATTAAGTAGTATTAACAAAAACTGTTGTGTTTTGAAATTTTTCTTAGCCTTTTACGTAAGACATTTCGAACCTCTCTAGATATAAGCAAGTTGTAAAGTCTTATAATGTTTAGATCTAAAGAGGGTCTTTGGGAACATTGTAACTGGTTTCCAGTTTATTCTTCAGGAGCCAGATTATTCCGTGAAGATCAGCTGAAATATAGTGAGATTTGAAATGGCCTCGAAACGTTTTGACGGTTAATATTACAATCTGCATTTTTCACTTGACGGTTGACGGAAAAAAGTAACCCTTTCGACGGCTAACGGTTGTAACCTCCTGAAATCATCTTCATCTCAGTAGAGAGCCTCGCATGTCCGGTGGTTTACATTTAATGTTTAGAGGTCTATTAAATGACGGTTTACGATCGGAGTGAATTTAAGGAAATACAAGGGGGCAAAAAAGTAATAAAAAAGAGGTCGAGGAAATAGAAATACAGGTTATCCGAAATAGTGTGAAGATTATAGCATCACTTTGGCAGTTTGAATACTAGCCAGTGTACAGACATGAGAGCCGCCTCTCTCCCCGAGTTTGGCAAACGGATGACCAAGATGGCGGGGTGGAGAGTTTAACCGTACAGAAATAAGAGTTTAACTGAACAGAATTTAACCCAGAGCATGAGTTTAACCGTGGAGAGTTTAAAAGAGCTGAGGGCAAAAGAATTTCCTCCCAATATCTGAAAGGAAATCCGCAACGAAATCGACCCGCTTAAAGCCAGTCTTCTCGACCTCAAAAAAAGGTTCGACGAAATTGAAAAGCACCTTATATTTCAAAGAAATACGGCACTGTGATATCGACGATCAAGGACGTAAAAGAACACAACAAAGGCGTGAAAAGCCAAATTAAAGAGATCAAGGAAGACATAAACAAGCTCGGCAACGATGGTTTTAATGTCGAGGTCAAGTTGTATTGGATGAGCTCGAGTAGTACGCGCGAAGAGACTGTCTCGAAATGACCGGTATTCCGGTCGTACCTCACTGAACGACAGCCCAGCGTTGCTGGTGAAAGAAATGTCTGAAATTATGGGAGTGAACCTCAACGAAAACGATATTTTGATCGCTCATCGTTTACCGCGAACGAAGAAAGTGAAAGATCAACTAATTGTCAAGTTCACTCGAAGAGAGAAGAGAGACGAAATCTACAGCAAGAGGAAAAACTTAAAATCTAAGCGGACTAAAGATCTCCCGTCTGTGGTCTGCGAGCCGGGATCTGCGGTTGTAAGTCATAACGCACATTTCCGTGTCAATGAAAGCTTAACGCCATAGAGAAAACGACTACTGGGCAGAATTTTACAATTCAAGCGCGACCACAACTACAAGGCGCTCTTGCGCATAAAATTCCAAAAAGGATACACCTCCTGGCCTCTATGACTTAGCTCATCCGGCTTCAGCTGTCCATAATTATAATACTAGGTATGCCACTAATCAAAACCTGTGCAGATCATTTTCCAAAACTAATTATGGCCTAGCAAGGTTTAGTGTGGTTGCATCACAGACCTGGGAAGCAACACCTATGTTAATTATTTAGTAAGTGTCTCCCCTTAAACAGTTTTAAAGAAGAACATAAACTCTTTGTAGTTGACAGTCAGGCATCTTGAACAACTCTAACCTGTTATTTAGCTCCATTTATTTAGTTATTTAATTTAAATAGTTGTTTTTACTCTTATATACCCTTCCTTTTCAATATGATTAATTTAGCCAGAATTCCATATCTAGTTATTTGTAATACTGTGTAACCTCCACCCACTTGTAACCGCTCTGTGGTAGTAGCCAACTCGAAAGCTTGGCTCCTTTGGTTGCTACACACTTTTTTCCTTTGTTATGTTTAATTCAATGTATAGTTAGCTCCGTTTTTACTTTTTTTTTCTTATTGTTGTAGAATCAATAATGCAATAAATGCAATAGAATCATGGCATTATCAAAAACCTACTCACTCAAGATGACTATTAGATAAGTTTGCAGGTGAATTAATAATGCCATGAATATCTAACCCACAGAAACACGGGCGACACACCTAGTGTTCTGTTGCATTTCACAATTTGCACTTAGGAGTCGCAGAACATCATGGCATTATTAAAAAACCTACTCACTCAAGATGACTATTAGATAAGTTTGCAAGTGAATTAATAATGCCATGAATTTCCAACTCACAGAAACACGGGCGACACACCTAGTGTTCTGTTGCATTTCTCGATTTGCACTTAGGAGTCGCAGAACATCATGGCATTATTAAAAACCTACTCACTCAAGATGACTGTTAGATAAGTTTGCAGGTGAATTAATAATGCCATGAATTTCTAACTCACAGAAACACGGGCGACACACCTAGTGTTCTGTTGCATTTCACAATTTGCGGCTTAGGAGTCGCAGAACATCATGGCAGTATCAAACACCCACTCTTGAATACATACAGATAGATGAAAAAGAAGAATTTCTTCTTAAAGTTAAATGTCGCCCTTTAAACAAACATATTGTAGTGTTTTCTGTCAAAAAAATTCCACTTTTCTTTAAGACCTCTGTATGCCTAATCACATTTGCAAAACAGTTTCTGAGATCAGCCTTTATGAAAAAAAAAAAAAACATTATTAGCCATTGAAAAGTGACAGGAATTAAAGTAAAAGGAGAAAAAATTGAATTTAAATAAGGGAGAAACAATGGGTTTCAAAAATTATGTCCCACAATAATTACAAGAAAATGATATTTCAACAAACAATAAACTGGTTAACTGACCTCATTTCGCACAATTTGCTATGCAAGTTGGTATACTGACTTTGTTATTTAATAAAAGCGAGTCATCCCCATTGTTACTTGGTTGTTTCCTGAGTGAAGGATGTGTACAGAGATTTTGGATTGGCGGGCTATTTTGGGGAATTGGCGGGCTATTCGATTTTGGCGCCAATGGACAGAACCCTTGAATCAAAATGAAATGATCCAGTCGACCACCTCTTGAAATCCGCTTCTAGAAACAGGAGTTAGCTAAGGGACTTGTGGCGAATGATATCGAGCGACAGCGGACCAAAAAGCCTCCTCCATCGACGGCACGGGAGAACCAACTCATACAAGCAAGAACGCCATCTTGTCAGACTGCTTAAATTCCTCGCTAAAACTCTTGACTGAATCGGAGGAGCCGAACATGCATAGCTTTCCATTACATAGGCTGGAATTCAAAGCAATGATACCAAGTCTTTTCGGTATCCAGCGAAGGAGAAAAAAACCCGGCGCAATAGAATAGACGAGGATCGTCACACATGTACACCGCCATCACTCGTGGCTCTCACTCTCAGGAATCTTCTGACAAAGTATCGTGGCAGATCTAGCGCGATATACCAAAAGCATACCATATAAAGTAAAATCCAATTAATGCCATTGTAGGATGGGTTATACTTTTACTTGCACAATCCTTTTTTCGACTTGCTGATTTGTTTCTTTGTTTTGACATTACGACGCATAAATAAAGACTGCAGTCAACCGCATGCCTAAAAAGCGGCTCAATATTTACACTGGACTCCGTGTCTTCGCTACAGATCGGCTATCGTGAGATAGCACCGGCCAGTCGCATTAGGCAAAATCTCGTTTAGCCTTGAAGCATTTCAGTTTGAAAGGGAAAATATATTTTTGATAAGACAATTCGTTCTTCCGCTTTATTTCTTGATCATTGCTGTCCGCGCGTCCTGGCGCGTGGATTCCTCGTGCTGAAATCTGGCAAAAAAATTATCTAGAACGCAACTTGAAGGTTTTGCAAGGCATACACTTTACTATAAGCAAAATTGTTTTAATTTTGCTTTATTTTAATTTTTATAATGGATAGCGTTGTATTTTCATCTGGTTTTTACTATCTTGAACACGTTCTGAGCTTTCAAAAGGATTACTACTGTAGTGGCATATGACAGGGTTGACACCTTATCGGATTACGTTTTTTGGCCAGAAATTAATGTACTAATTAAATTCCCACAGCAGGAAATTCTCTTGTCACCTTTTGAAAACAAAGCGTCCGTAGCAACTAAGAAATCATGCTGATCGCAAAAAAAAGTCTCTTGCGGATCCTCATGGTAATTGAGCAAGTGTGCAACAACGCTAA